TGTACGGGTCATGGATAGTCGACTGGTCTCACTGCAGAATTTTGCGATGCGTCTCGTCACTTGGCTAACCAATCAAACAAAACGTTTTCGTATGCACAGTTTTTGCATTAGCAAAACATTATAATTAATTATCAAAATTTGATTGTATGTCCCTCTCCACTGCGAGCCAACAGCGCCAAACAAACTGCACATATTAACACTTGGAAGATTTCAGGACCCCGTCCTCTTCTAGTCTCCTAGCCAGAGATATTCATTGTTTGTATCTTTAAAATTTTTGAAACGCTTTACAGCCTTGAAACAGCATAATTATTAGAAAAAAGTCATGCGCAGGCACACACTTATTTCATACGTAGTCACAACATACACATATATTCATGTAAAATCGTGCACAGACACACACACACACCCACGCATACACACACAACAGACAAGCATAATTATTAGTTAACACTCATGTGCGCACGCGTAACCATGAATAGATAAATGCACATATATCTTTATACAGAAATACATACAAACACATTTATTTATAAAAATGTATTCAAATCCACGCAGAAATTATTCGAGCCCTATCACATTGATACACAGAGTCACACATTAAGCAACCAGCCTTCTTTATCTCGTAACAAATCGTTTTTGAAAAAAAAATTTAGCACTTAAAAGCGAGATTTATGAGGATGCAAAAACTGGGGGGACTTCATTTGGGGATAAGGAATAATCAGTATCGAACAAGTCTTTTTTTTTTTTTTTTGCATTTCAACGCTGACACTTCATTTTTACATGATTTCTCCCTATTACAGCACCACTGGCGCTAACAATTGGTGATATTTTATTAACCGATAAAATAGACCATGAGGATGGTTACATGGAAGACGATACGTTGATGGCACATATCATGAAGTGCGACAGTGCCCTTTGGAAAGGTTTCTTTCTTTCCTGCTCCCTTAATCAGCGATAGGTCGTTCCAGTGCTGACCCATGATTTCGTTTCCTTTCGTTCATCTGCAAATCGATACTCGAAATTCTACTTCTTCCCTGGCGTATTTGTGTAGTGCTTTTATGTGTTTTGTGCTGTGTAACAGCAGTACAAGATGCATATTGTCACGGGGTTGTCTGTGTGTGTGTCCGCAGCAACTTGTCCGCAGCTTTCAACTCGGGAACCACAAAAGCTAGGAAGCTGAAAATTTAGGGGAACATTCCCCATCTAGCTCGACCCCGCAAATTTAAATTCGGCCTCCTCGTACCCGCGGGTAACACGTAGGGCCCCGTAAAAGTTCGGGCGGGTAAAATTATTATCACGGGAACCACGGAAGCTAGAAGGCTGAAATTTTGTGGGCATGCCCCCCACCCTGTGCTACCCACAGAATTTAAATTCAGCTTTCCCCTGCCTGCGGGTAACAAATACGGCCCCGCGAAAATTTTTGACGGGTAAATTATTATCTTGGGAATCACTGAATATACGAGGCTGAAATTTTAGTGTAATAACCCCCTGCCCGTGCTCGACCTTGCCTATTCAATTTCAGCTTTCCCGCGCTTTCGGGTACCACCTGTGGCCTCTTGAAAATTTTAGCGGGGGATAAATTATTATCTCGGGAACCACTGAATATACGCGAAGCTGAAATTTTAGTGTGATAACTCTCTGCCCACGCTCGACCTTGCCTATTCAATTTCAGCTTTCCCGCGCTTTCGGGTATCACCTATGGCCCCGTGAAACATTTGGCATGTAAATTATTATCTCTGGAACCACGAAATCCATTGAACTAAAATTTTGGTGTAATAATCCCCTTACAAAATCGCAAATTCAAATTCAGCATTCTTACGCTGTCATGTATCACTTACGGTCCCGTAAAAATTTTGGTGGGGAAATTATTATCTCGGGAACCATAAAAGCCAGAAAGCTAAGTTTTATGGTAGCGTCTTCTGCCCACATACAATCCTACAGTTTTAAATTCAGCTTCCCGAACGTCCGAGTGTCACTTACCACACCTGGAAGTTTCGACGGGACAGTGAAAATCATCAGCAGGCAATCTTTCAGTGAACGGAATTGCACAAAACGCATGATCGCACCGGCTGCTCTGGTGCGCGCCGCTATTTATTTAATTATCTAACAGCATTTCTACATGAAATCGATTAATTTTAAAAAATTCGGGTTATGCTTTATAACGAGATTGAGCTGCTCCGGGATGTTTTTAGGTGCTCGAGTGACTTTCCACCAAATGATCATGACCACAGTGTTGATGGACAATTATCAGAAGCAGATTTTTTCAAGGCTGTATATTCAGGTACATTGGAACTCCAACCAGCCATTCTTTGTTATCTGAGTTTGTGGTGGGCTAGAAGTCCAAGGGGGGTTTTTTGACAATGTTTGGTACTTTCAGTTGTACAAAAAATTACTCCGGGACTTTATTGATGATGATCATGATCATTCTGTGTCGATTACCGCATTAACTGTACAGGTTGGTTCTGGATTTTAATGATGCATTTTGAGAAAAAATATTAATTTTTACGATCGCCCAAACGGACTTTGTATCTTAAAGGGTTTTGCATTTTTGTTTTTCATGTATCTGTCTAGGTCCTTTGGGACAAATGAGTTATAGTATGGTCTCCACTGGTGCAATGGATAACTTTTTGGTCAATACTTTGGTCAGTGCTTCGCCTGCTGGCAGTTCACCTTTTTTTTTAAAGCTCATTGATATTTTGGACGAAAGCATTTCTTGAGACTTTAAAATGGAAAAAGAAAAATCCGAGATGGAGATGCCGGAGATGTTTAAAAAAAAAGATCCATGCAGTGCTGAGCGTCGCTCTCCCGAACGTTGCCACTTGTAAAGTACAATGAAGTACCATACCGACTAAGTAGTCTTTGGACACCGTACCAGACAAAATTGTCATTAATTTAAAATATATTTTGATTTTTTTTTTACACTCGTTAAAACTTGATTTTGTTTAAACATAAGTATTTTGGGCGTGATGGTTTGTTAGTCGTTTTAGATATTTACGGTACCAACAATAGCGCGTATACTTATTGCGGAGGAGTGTGCTCTTAAATTCATATGTGATGGATTAACTGAGCACTGTGTGAAGTACATTAGATGTAAGTGCTTTTTATGTTACTTTTCGGGCTTCCCACCATCGCGTGGGTGCACATTTTGCGTAGTCATTGCAAATCCAATAATTTTACTTGCCAGAAAGATATAACGACAGTGGAAAATGACTTAGAAAAAAAATCAAACAAATTTTTTGGAAAGCAATATCGTGAAAAAAACCGGCAGCGCCAATGTCATATGTGTTGATATTAATGTAGGAAGGCTGTAAAAAGTGTTTTTTTTTTTGTAGAATCGGTTAATGACGTAATATTTTAGCAGTGAACAGACCAAAATTCGATTTCTCCTCACGCTCATCGCCTCATGCACTTCGACGTTCCCTGTATATGCTGTATGATTTGAAGTAAGTTTTTTATAAGAAATTGCTTTTTTCTTCCTTCAACGACTTTCATTTTTGCCTGATATTCTAAAATGCGCAATTTATGCAGATATTTGCTATCGGTGGTGCCAGCGGAACGTGACTGGACTCCAACTTTGCGTGAAAATTTTTACAATGGTTGCGTTTCCCTCATACAGTTTCTTTCGTATATGCAGGTCATTTTTTATTATACGAGTAATTTCATCATTTTCGAAACTTTATGCAAAAGTCTGTTTCATAGATTTATTACTGCAAGTTATTTTCGTTTTTTGATGGTAGGACATGGACGAAGTTCGTCGCCTAACGGCACAGCATCAAGTTTGGGAGCTGGAATGGGAGACGGCTTTCAACATTCAGATCAAATTGCAAGATGTCCTCACACTTATCATTGCTTGGGCTAATAGTGATGTACGTTTTTTTTTTACTAATAAAATATTTCCTTTTTTAAAAATATTTTGCAAAAAATTCTACAGTTCTGTTCGGAAACAGTGGCTGTTTTTTTTTTGTTACAGAAAGTCGCTCACTTTAATTTGCTCGATTATTTAATTCGTGAAATAGAAGCAACTGTGCAATTTCGAACGG